CGGCTAAAATAAGTTAATTTTGGGGTAAGTTACTCTTTAACTTCTGCTGCTATAGACTTAGACAGCTGGAGCACAAACTGAGCACATTTCCTCACTCTGCTGTTGTCTTCAGTCTCTCTTCTCTACATGTTTATTGTAATTATTTCTATCAATAACATGTTTTTTCTTTGTCTCTTTTCCAGAAGTAGGTGCATCTGGACCAGTTCTTCTGTTTTTACCTGTGTCTCTTTCCTGTCCCCCAAACCAGCCGGTCGAGGCAGATGGCCGCCTGCCTTGAGCCTGGTTCTGCTGAAGGTTTCTTCCTGATTAACAGGGAGTTTTTCCTCTCCACCGTTTGCTCAGGATGGRACACTGTGATGAAGTGATTTAACACAATCTGCTGGCTTCTTCTTTAGATTGTTCTTTTTTCATGTACAGTGCCCTGAGAGAACATACAGTATGTTGTGACTTGGCGCTATATAAATAAACGGAATTGAATTGTCCTTGGAGGTTCAGAAACCCTTAAGAAAGTAAATGGTGTAATTAGGGTGGGCGATTCTGTGCAAACTGTAAGTGGATGCAGGCTTTAGTTGATTTTCTATAATTGTTGGGGTTATAAAAAAGCAAGAAACGAGTTTCAGATCATCAGTGGATGCAACATTTATTATCAGTACTGTGTGAAATACAACACGTCAGAGATGACAGCTTGAAAAAATACTACTTATTTGAATGCTACTGCATTCAAATAAGTAGTGTCTTATGTGTTCTGGTAAAAACTAGGCTAATTTTAATTGAAAAAGTATCGAACTTTAAGTAAATATACAAGTTATCTGTTTGTAGAATAAAAATGACAGATAAAGCAGTCTAAGCTTGTACTAGCTGCATTTTAAAAAGATCCATCAAAAGCTAGAGCCAAAACTATTCTCACTAATTGAAGACAACCTAATCAATACAAATCAAATATTTAAAAAATCTCAATCTCTTTGTAAGCCTGTAAAGACAAACTCTACCCTGAGCAGAGCTGCCAGTATAGTCTACTTAGAATAAAAAGATGATTGAATCAGCCCCCTCCTGCTTCTTCCCATCCAAGTCCCCCCCTCATGCTCTCATCATTATAGCTGCTACTTGTAAAAATAACCAAGTGCATTTGGCCATTTGGCAATGACAAAATGTCTGCACAGTCAGAGGCCTCTGAGGCCCGTCACTGCACATTTATAGTTCAGTTCATAGGGAGTGACTCGCTGTATAAGGACGTTAAAGTCATGTGACTAAGTTCACTGCAGTTAGAACCGCTGTGAAGATCTTTACTAAAAATATTCAATGCTCAATCTCTGCCAGTAAGCACTAAATATGGCATTACATTTGAAGATGTGCCTAATATAATAAAACAACTATTAATCTGAAGATTAGTGTTCAATAGATCCTAGATGTCTACTTGTTTCAAAGGTTTCAACTGAATGTTTTCTTTATTTTWAAAGGAGTTTCCTGTCATTAACTGAACCAGCTGCACCTTTTTTTATGCCAAAACGGGTTTCTCCAAGGAAGGACGACTTGTACAGTGTGTGCGCAGATATTCACGCACCCWAGTTGTGTTCCTCAGAGCGTTGTTGCATTGTACTCAGTGTCCTAGAATAACATACCAATAACCCCAAGGATATGCCTGTCACTCTCACACTGCTCTGTTCAGCTCTCCCATGGAAGATACGTCACCTTTTAGTTTTTTTACATCACTTAATGAAGGAAAACCTCCATGTGAGGAAATGTCAAATTAGCTCATATTAAAGCTCTTTTAAAATCACTTTGTCATACAGTGCTAGAAAAAAAGATGGCTGACTACACACTCAAACATGCAAAAATGTATGACATCCACTTTCTACCGTCACTAAATTTAAGTAGTAGGTAAGTAGGTAATCGATTAAGACAGCCAAAGTAGTTTAGCTCATCTATGAACCCATTTTGAACTTGTGGTACAATAAATGTTAGGTTTGTGTAGCTTTAAATGACCCATAGTTAAAGTTAGGATACAGCTTTACCAGACTGGCTCTTTGGGTTGTATTACAATTAAATTTTAATTTAATTTGAATCAGGGTGTAGTCATTTTGAACTGAATTAAACTGTGTTGCAACTGGATATGAATTAGACCTATTTGTCTTGTTTGTAAAATACTCTCAGAAGACTTTTTTTGTTAATAACTATGAATAAACTGAACTGATTTATAACTAAATCAACTCATCTGTTRAAGTTTATGATTACTACTGCACCTGGCCCTACTGCATTTACTGAACTTCCTYTTTTATGTTTCTTAAAGTGTGACATTTGCAAATGGTCCACCCTGTTTATAACTTAGTGAATACAATCAAAAATAACCTAAAATATCTAACTGAAAGGGATTATGTAACACTCATTGCACTAAAGTTGTTTGTGTTATATTTGTGTTTTCCCATCACTTGTCTTATTATCTATTGCTTTACCTGTGCAGTCTCTGATTTCAAGGTCACAGTATATTATTGGGTTGTATTTTTCTCTGCTAATATGTAATGCTATGCTAATATGAAAGTAATATGGTAATATWCTTATTATACAAGACTCTGTTAAAGTCAAACCTAATAAAAAGATGGAAATGATGTTTAAAGTAGGACTGTGAAGTTAATCGAGTTAACTCTGATTAATTTTAGTGCTGCATGAGCATAGATTAAAAATTTTAATCACGATTAATC